CTACCCTACCTATACCTATGGTCCGTGCGACCCTACCCTACCTATACCTACGTCCGTGCGACCTATACCCTACCTATACCCTACCCTAGGTACATGGTACCCATCCGCCAGTCTAGCTAGCAGTTAATTGGCCATTTCACGTACGTAGCTTAGCGTAGGGGCAAAGCCTCGCGCGTTAAGCTTCCTTATGTATTGTATAACCACCTCCTCTTCAGGCTTAGTAAGCCTTGATCTGCTGTGGTGGGAATCGCGTCATGAGGTGGTTTTGGCGCGTTAGTCTTAGAGGGTTGATTGAGGAACGTCATAGATAGCAGCAGCGCGCTGTTGGCTTATTAACGCGTTAGATTTCATAGCTTAGATAGCAAGGATTATCCTATCCTTACGAGGAAGTAATCTAAGATCAGGTTATTGAGACATTAGATGAGAGGTGGAATGAGGTGTGATCTTGGCAAAGGTGGCCGGCTCAATTGCCTGGCCGACTCAATGGCCGATTACGTTATTATAAATACAGAAGCGCCCGAAGACCTCTTTATCGCGGGCGCTCTTTATGCGAACCTTCCCTTGATGGGCCAAATCCACTGCGCGGATGTCGTAATTACGATGCACAATAATTTGACGAGCCACAGTAATGTAACGGCTTCTATTATCCTGCTGAAATAGCTGAGATTACAGAGAGATACCATGAAAGCTTGTGCGCCTAACGCCCTTGATCTTGAAGAACTTGATAAGATCATCATCCCGCTTTTGCTCAAGCTCTTTGACGTCTTTGCCTTGAAGCTCGTCTGCAACGCTTGAACCCAACACGTCAATACTCTCCTGAGACCAGTCGAATTTATGTGCCTGCATATCTGCAACCCAAACTCGGCTTGCAGGTCCCAGATGCTCAAGAAGGTGCTTAAATCCCTCGCTACCACCACCGCCTCCCATTGCGTTTGCCAGGAAGGGTCCGACCATGGCCCACCGAGGCCCCAGACTGGTAGTGACGCAAGCATCTGGATACTTGTGGTTAATAAATGAAGACAAAGATAACGAGGAAGACGAACGCACCCAAGTCCTGCGCGGAGACTATCCCACGAGCCACTAGGCTGTACGCCTCATTGCAAAGCGCAGCCTGGAGACGGTTGGCGACAAAACCGGGTATTTCGTCTTTTATGTGAACGGGACGACGCCCTACGGACTCATAGAAAGCCATTGCATGTGCAACAGCTGCGGTACTCGTGTTCGGATGGGGAACTACCTCCACAAGCGGCATGAGGTGAGGTGGGTTGAACGGGTGGCCGATGAGCACTCGCTCTGGGTGTTGACACTGACCAACAAATTTCGAGCTTGGAATGCCTGAAGATGAGGACGCAATGACGACATCTAGACGAACAGCTGCGTCGATCTCGGCAAGGAGCTTTGTTTTGAGCTCTGGCCTTTCGGGCGCATTCTGCACGATCCTATCAGTCCATACTCTGGCATAGTAGATTTTGTGTACTTACCTCTTGGACAAAGTCCACTTCTTTATAGTATTCGCCCAAAGTCGCACCTACAAATTTGTAGTTCGAAAGAGAAGCGCTAGATAGAGAAGCATCCGAATCAGCGCACGACCATTAGAAGGAGCTTCGTGTGGTGCTGTTATTACTCTTCATCTAGACCCATGATCTCTAATGCAGGCCAGATACTTTTCAGATAGGAAGCCAATTTCTCCTCCGCTGCAGGTGCAGGGTCCGCAACGATCACGCGCAGACCATGGGCAAGAAAAAGACCTGTCCATGATGCCCCTATCACGCCAGTGCCAACAATGCCAACTGTACGAATAGACATTTTCGAAAGAGAAAATAGGATCCCGAGACTGCGAGAAAGATCAGACAAAACGGCAAAAAGAGATCCGCCTTCCGCTCTATGGGACCTGAGACCTCTTTAATGCAATCACAGTGGCACTACACACTTTCGCCTAGAGTTAGAATTAACTAGCGTGAAGATTGGCTGTTCGAATCCTCTTGTGGTAGTTGCATCCGGAGCACAGAGCAGATCAAGCAGCTTTGGTACGTATTAGCTGGGTCATTGCATAAATATTCGGCCTGGACGACGGGTGGTGGGAAACTGCAACCAGCAACAAATCAGACCTCTTTGCATTTCAATTTAGTCCGATCTTCGCATGCGTTATGGGAGTACACCTATTCAGAATGTCAACCGAAAAATACAGCAATATTCCCGCTCTAGAAACATCCAGAAGTTGCTGCAACCATGCAAGGAACGCGTCATGCCTCCTTAAGGACGAGCTGCAACCGGCATCGAATCGGATCTTCCCTCGCCTGCCCAAAATATCGGCCGAGAGAGTGGTGGGTCCTTTCGGGAATCTATGAGATGGTTGTATTGCAACATGCAGCATGTGATAGAGTAAATCACTGTCTTGTGGCAGTGAATGGTATGGATCATACGCAAGGACCGAGGCGAGTTGGGCCGTTAATGATTGGCTGTTGTCCCAGTCCCACATTGATAGTCGACCAATGATACGGGCAATATACTTTGGTCGACCGAGGCGTATGATCAACCGAGGCCCTTAGCGTAATTTGATTGGGTCCTCTGCTTTACTAGCGCAACGTTCTGCAATTATACGTCACTGTTCCGCCATCGCAGCATAGACACTGCACGAGGACCTTGAGGATTTGGTGTTAAACAATGCTACTGGCACTTGCGGTCGTGAATCACAGCCGCTAACGGAATTTGCTACTTCTGCTACGACCGGCATAGGCGTCGAAATGATCTGTTTTGTCCGCACCAGCCGTGATAGCATTTAATGATCCAGATTTCCTTCTTGAACAACCCTATATTTCGCAATCGAGTGTTCTTTTCGCTCTTGCCACAGGTTAGTACCACCGACGCCTTTTTAAAGTACGATCGTATCCATCATGGCCGCGCACTATACGACAAAGGACTTATATGGCCCTGGCACATTTGTTGATGATGATTTTATCGGTGTACCCAGCGATGCACGCAGGCTGTTGAGATACTTGGCTGCTATCACCCCAGGCTTTACGACTGAGGAGGCTGCCTTAAACGATGTCGAATTTTCTGGGGAAGATCTACCTCTTATTCCAGGACCCCTCAAATCGCAGGTCTTTGTAAGTATATGTTCCTTCCAGTGTTTTTGCAGTCGGAGAACAGGCTATGCTTACTCATTCTACTTAGACCGCTGTTCTGCATGCAATGATAGGAGTTGTTGCCAAAGAGATCAGCACACTTAAAGGCGTCGAAACAGGTAAAATTCACGTCGACACTGACAAATGTGGTTTGTACCCAGCCACTGTAGCCCTTGTCAGTATCGACGGGAAAGGCATCGGTGATATCAAGACCGATGGCACCCTCACTAAAGCCAGTTTGGATGTTGATAAGGGCTGCGTCAGCAAGAATCACATGTATGTCCGCTCGTGGGCCATCTACCCAACTCAGGATCCCCAAGTCTGGTACCAGTTGATGAGTAACCTCAACGCCCCAGCATTCTTCAAGGCCTACGGCATTGACGGTGAAGCCCCTGTAAAAACCAGAGAAGAGGCCTATGAGATGATCAAATCGACCATCTCCAAGTATTCGGCCGCCGAGCTTGACATCAAGAATATGGAGAACGGATTCTGTGGGCAGACATGCTTCACACCACAACATTGGAGAGAAACGATTATGGGCAAGCGACTGGCTACACACCCTTTGATCGACTACACGCAGGTCAAGGGCACTTCGACATTGCCCCCTGTACCTTTTCCACAGACAAATGATACGCGCCCGTTGGCCGGCATCAAGGTTGTTGAGCTAGCCCGTGTAATTGCTGGCCCAGCAATGGGAGCAGCTCTTGCAGCCCTTGGTGCGGATGTCATCAAAGTTCAAAGCCCCAATCTCCCCGATCTGCAAGTAAGTGGTGCTGTACGCTCTGTACTTACCCCAATCTGACGTCCACTAGCCTTTGAGTATCACGCTTACAGCCGGTAAACGTACATATGCGCTGGACCTCCAGAAGACTGCAGACAGGAAAGCCTTGGTCGACCTTATGGCGGGTGCAGATGTTATTATCCAAGCATTTCGGCTACGCTCCCTCGAGCGGAAGGGCTTCGGGCTACAGGACCTAGTCGAAATATCGAGGCAACGCAACAAAGGAATCGTCTACATCGATCTCAATACCTATGGTCCGGACGGCTACTACGCCGAACGCCCAGGATTCCAGCAAATTGCCGATGCTGCTTCCGGATGCTCTTATGTCTGTGGTAAGGCTTATGGATTTGAGGAGGGTGTCAGTGTGCTCCCTGCTCTTCCCGTTGCCGACATGCTGGCTGGAGCGGTGGGTGTCGTCAATGTTCTCCTTGCTCTGCGTGATCGCGCAGCCAAAGGTGGATCGTACCACGCCACTTCCGTCCTAACATCGGTGGATGTGATACAACTGGGAGAGACATTTGGACTGTATTCATCGGAGACAGTGAAGAAAATTCAGGACAAGTTTGGTTTCAAACCCATGACACCGGACCTACATGTGGAAGATCTTCTCTACATTCTTGGGGAGGCTTGGACAAAACATCCGGACATTCTGCGCCGTGACGGGTATATGGTCACCTTCGAAAATACGGTGTATGGAAAGAAGCATACAATACTGTCCCCGATCATTCGATTTGACAATGATGACGTCAGTCCCCGCTGGAATCATGGCCCTGTGGGATATTGTACGTCAAAGCATGAGACTTGGGCATGATTACACATTGGCGAAACTGCCTGTTGCAATGGCCACTAGATAAAACTAGTCCCAATCCGGCACTCATGGCAATTTTATTCCGTCGCCCTCCTGGAAGCATTTTGAATCACCTGTGATATCGCTTTACATGTAATGTTCTTCATCAAGCACCTTCTCTAAACTCTATTGTGATTCGCTTTGTGAGGTCGATGTGAGACCAGCTGCCATGTCACGAAGATCAGGGTAGAGAAGCTGATGTCTTGAATCAGAGTTGCAAGGTCAGGCTTCCTTCCGCAAAGGAAATGTTTGATCTGCACTGATCTCGATATGATCGCTGTTAGGTCTACGGATCACCCTACGAGAAATCAAGGAGCTCCCTATCAGCACAACCTACAGTCGCATTGTATCACAGGAGGGTACGGCAATAATTTGTTTTCTTGTGTTTATTGTCTACCCATCTTGAGGCTATGCAAGGGAGGCGACAACTTCTCCCCACAACAAATTGTCCCTACAATACAAGGGTAATGCCGGTGAACGAACGATGTTCATCATGGAATACGATGGTCTTGCCACTGCCATTCTCAGCAAATGACCATATTGTTCCTCCCATGTCGGCTGCATACCATCTTCCAGCATCCTTGTCGTGGCACAGCCCAATGGTTTCATTGAAGTTTTGCACAAGTACTTCATGCTGCAGCCCTACCGTAGGCTCAAAATTGTCAGAGCTGGCGCGAGTGCCTGCTTCATTCAGTACCAGTCGATTGAAGGAATTTCCATAGGGTAGCTCGCCACGATCAGTCCAGTAAAGCGTATTCGTAGATTCGTCGATTTCCAAGTCGATTGGCTCTGGGAGGCTCTGGAGCAGAAGCGTTGGCTGTCTAAGCCCAGAGCCCTCGATAGGAGCATAGAATATACGTCCAGTCCCTGATTTGGATGGGCCCTTCTGCGTCCAATAGAAAAGACCTGTACGGCGGGATATGGCGATGCCGACACACCATCTAGTCTGATCGCAGGCGTCCGTTGCGTTATTTGAGTTCCCCGTTTGCACCAAAGTTTCCAGACAAGAACCGTCCAAGTTACAACGCATGACGCGGAGACCTTCCCTATCAGCGATGTATAGCTTGCCATCTACGTTGTCCATAGCGAGTTGCTTGGGAGTGTGAATTTGACCATTCGATAGGACAATCTGAGGGTCTGATCCGTCTGGACGTATTGAGCAAACACTCCCATCATTACAGGGCGGAATTCCCATATTGGTGTAGTACAAACGACCATCTTTCTTGCTGTACACAATGCCATCTGGTAGCGAAACGTATGGTTTGTCTTTTAGCAGAAGTGATGGTTGAACTTGCTGGTTCGAATTCTGCAACTGAAGAGCCAGTATCTCTCCTCGTGCAATAATGTCAAGAAAAGACTGGCCTTGAATGGACTTGCTGAGGCCAACGTCAAGGGCAACAATAATTTTAGCAGAAGCCATTTCGCAAAGATGAAGGATGAGTAACTAGTAGGTAAAAAATTAACAAAATATGATGGGGCGAAGACCCAAATGAGCAAATACGTTAAAGAAGCCCAATGGTGACGATTGCATATACTAATCAAAGTTGTGGTAACCGCAACCGCGGTCGGCCTGAGATGGTTCCAAACCAAAAACGTTCAAAGTTACGACGGCCGCATGCGTGCTTCGGCCGAACATTGACCAACAATGAGGAGACCTTGAAAATCTGTGCCTCGGTGCGCGTTATCGATAACACCACTCAACCCGATCTTCTTTCGCCGTGCACTGACAAAAGCTTCTGATTGGAACCACATGTACTGATTTGCGGAGTGGCGCGTTCAGTAGCTCCTCTACTACATGCGGGCTCCGAATGCTTTGATGCAACGTCCCGAGACCCAATCGGACCATCACCTTGTGAACCTTTGCAGCCGAGGTTTGCAAGGACCAGATTGTGATTGAAGTAGGCAAGCAAGACCCACTATGATGTCCAAAAGTGCCCTCTAGCACAGATTGAGAGAATGCTCAAAACAAGGTCAACGCCTTCCGTGACAACAAATATTTGCTCCTATCACTTCATAAATCTGCTCACGTTTTCTCACAATATCTGCTTCGTCACATCATGGAACCAATTCCCAGCCCTCACGGATATCCCATAGTGGGTAATGTCTTGGACATCGATCCTGAGCATCCCAACGAAAGTCTGGCGCACATCGCCGCGGTACACGGTGAGTTGAACAGGCATAGGGTTGGCCAAACAACCACTGAGTTCCTGAACAGGTCCCATATTCAGGCTGTGGCTACCTGCAGAACGCATTTTCGTGGGAAACTATGCACTTGCAAAGGATCTTTTCGATGAGAAACGGTTCCAGAAGGGCGTAACTGGTCCACTTGCTCAGGTTCGTCATGCCACGGGTGACGGTCTATTTACTGCACTTCCCGGAGAACACAACTGGGAAATTGCGCATCGCATTCTGATGCCAGCGTTCGGCCCGCTGTCAATCAAAGCCATGTTCTCTGGTATGTCGGCGTATAATCTACTCAAGATTTGGACTGATTGATCTGCTACACAAGAAATGCAGGATGTAGCCAACCAGATGGTGCTCAGATGGGCTAGATTTGGTGAAAATGTCGTCATCAATGTTGCTGACGACTTTACTCGGCTTACGCTGGACTCAATCGCCTTGTACGTTTTCTGCCGAGAGTTCAGTCGTTAAAAAAAAATTAATTAACTCGGCCAGATGTGCAATGGGGGACCGCTTCAACTCCTTCTATCGAGAGCAACAGCATCCCTTTGTCGATGCGATGGTGGGAACTCTCACTGAATCCTTTGCAAGATCGAGGCGCCTGCCCCTGCCTGCTCTGGTTTACTCCACACAGGACAAGATGTTTCAGCTGGACATAGAAAAGCTCGTTCAGGTTTCAGAGGAGCTTTTGAACGCTCGTCGCGCTCATCCGACTGAAAAGAAAGATTTGCTCAACGCCATGCTGTTGGGACGTGACCCAAAGACAGGAGAAGGCCTGGACGATGGCACCATTGTTCGTAACATGATTACGTTCTTAATAGCTGGTCAGTCACGGACTGTACACTAATCCCAGAGGATCAGTCTCGGCTAATATTTCAGGTCATGAAACGACTTCCGGTATGCTTTCCTTCCTCTTCTATGAGCTCCTCGAGAACCCAAGTGCGTATCGAAGGGCGCAAGAAGAAGTCGATACCGTCATTGGAAAAGAAACCATTACAGTAGACCACATGGGGAAGCTGCCGTATTTGGAAGCATGCTTACGCGAAACACTGCGACTGCACCCGACTGCGCCCGCTTTCACGCTACAAGCAAAAGGTGATCAAGTCATCGGAGACCGATACACCATTAAGGATAAACAGCATGTGACTGTCATACTTGCTCAGTTGCATCGTGATCCAGAGGTGTACGGAACCGATGCTGAAAATTTCCGGCCAGAGCGTATGGAAGGCAAGGCTTTCTCAGAGCTGCCACCGAATTCATGGAAGGTAAGCCCTAATCGATTTCTGAAAAATCTAAGATAATACTCCGGTCATTGACTAACAGGGTGAAGCCTTTTGGTAATGGTATGAGAGCCTGTATTGGACGTCCGTTCGCGTGGCAGGAGGCTCTGCTCACGGTGGCCACGCTGCTGCAGACGTTTCGCTTTTCCAAAGCCAATCCATCTTACTCGCTGCTAATCAAAACGAGTTTGACAATTAAACCGCAGGACTTCTACATAAAAGCACACATGAGGGATCCGAACTTTCTCCAACGCGTGGGTTTTCCGTCGGGCGATGCGGGAACCAGAGATCCTGCACCTGCCAGCGCAAGTTCTAAACCAAGGGTGGAGGCGAACGACTTGCGACCTTTGCGCATCCTGTTTGGATCCAACACAGGAACGTGTGAAGCCGTTGCACAAGCACTCGCTGAATCGGCTGTGGAGAATGGCTATAAAGCAGAGGTACAGGGTCTTGATGCTGCAGTGTCGTCGCTGAGCCGAGACGTTCCAGTCGTGATAATCACGGCCAGCTACGAAGGCCTTCCTCCTGATAACGCAACTCATTTCGTCGAGTGGCTCAAGTCAAATCCCAGCGAGGAAGTGAAGGATGTCAGATATGCTGTCTTCGGCCTTGGAAACAGTAAGTGTACATTTGGCTGCACGACCCGCATGTATGCTAATTGATGTTGCAGAGGAATGGTATAGTACCTATCAGAAGATACCCACATTTGTGGACGATGCGCTTTTTAAGAATGGAGCTCAGCGTCTGACTGATCGCGTGGCGCTGGACGTTACGTCTGGCAATATTTTCGACTTCCTCGATGAGTGGCAAGAAAGTGAGCTCTGGCCCAAACTGGGTGGTAAGAAAAATAGCGCAGGTGCTCAGAATAGTTCGGTCAGAGCTCTGCCTATAGAGATTGACGTTCAGGCGCGCTCCCACTTCCTTAAACAGGACATGCAGCTGGCGCAGGTGTCAGGAGCGCGACTTTTGACACGGCCAGGTGCAATGCGCAAGCGACACATCGAGATGCTGCTGCCTTCCGGTACGACATATCGGGCCGGCGATTACATTGCTGTTCTCCCTCTTAATCCACCACAAGTGGTGCAGCGAGTCATGAAGAGGTTCAGACTCCCGTGGGATACGACCATCACTATCAAACCCGAGGCGAACACAAGCCTGCCTGTTGGCAGGCTACTCAGCATCCATGATGTGCTGGCGGGCATGGTTGAGTTGGGTCAGCCAATCACTTCACGATCGGTGAATGCGGTGGCCAACTCAATTGCTGACGAAAAAAACAAAATTGCACTGCAGGATCGTTTCGAAAAGGAGAACTTCCAAAAGCTTAACATCACCCTCATCGACGTTCTCGAAGATTATCCGGATGCAGCTTTTACGATCGCGGAGTTCCTTGCAGCGGTGACGCCGATGCGTGTGCGACAGTACAGTATCTCGTCTAGCCCATTGGAGGATGCGGCCAAGTGCTCGCTCACATTCAGCGTTCTGGATGCCTCCCAGAAGAGTGGGCGAAAAGACGCTCGCTACTTTGGGGCTTGCAGCACATTCCTTGAGCGCCTGAACGTTGGAGACCAGCTTCAAATAAGCTTTCGCCCCAGCCGAAGTGGCTTCCATCTGCCCCAGGACGATAATCTGCCTCTGATCATGGCGTGCGCAGGAACAGGTCTTGCGCCATTCCGCGCTTTTGTGGCTGAACGGGCGATAAAGAAAAGATCTGGCGCCGATGTGGGCCCTGCTATGCTCTTCTATGGCTGCAATGCCCCGGACGAAGACGATATGTACAGAGACGAATTCGACGCATGGGAGAAGCAAGGAGTCGTCAGTGTACGTCGGGCCTACACATTTAAAGCAGAAGCGTCAGAGAATTGCAAATTCGTGCAGGAACGCATCTGGCATGACCGCGAAGAAATCAAGGAGCTATTCCACAAAGGCGCAAGCCTGTTTCTCTGTGGTGCTGGTGTTGTTGGGGTCGGCGTGGAAGCAGCAATGGCAAAAATCCGCGCTGATTCAAGGGGCGAGACTATTGAAGAAGCAACTCAGTGGGTGAAGAAAGTTAAAGGAGATCGTTTCTGGTCAGACGTGTTCTCATAGAATCACACTAAGGGTAAGTTCAAGTATCGGGCTAGGGGGAAAATTACCATCAGGACATAACTTGTGGCATTTTTCATCCCACTGTCTTATCTCTTGAATTTTTTTTTGATTCTCAAATGCACAAAGGACTACTGTATCGCTGGTAATTTAACTCAACGTACCGGTACCGTGTTCCATCAGCCCGTGCACAGCATCGGCTCATGCATGCTTTTTGGCATAACCAACACTCACGCACCGAAATCCTATATTAACTTACTCAACGCCATGCCACAATTACACAACGCCTACCCGACATAAGGGCGCGACGGGGACACAAAGTCGCAGCAAGATAGGTTTAGCGTTAGGGTTCAGCCTGTTGTAGGAAGAATATATCTTCTAACGTAGTTTACAAGCGAGCGGTCCAACCCAAGCGAGTGGTCCACCTAACAGAGTTAAGATGATTGCAATGCATATACTGCAACACCACCACCACTTACTGCAATTTGCAGGTGACAGAGATACTATTTAGACTTGTTGCTATCAGATGCATCTACAATTTCAACTGCACAGGTGCGAGCGTTGTGGCTAGTCTCTCCACAACGTCTGCAACGCCTCTGTGTGCGCACCTTCTTTGCAGGCTCTCTGCCCCCCTGCTGCCCACTACCCTCCCTTTCAGCTATTAAATCAGCTACCTCACCTACCGTGAGACTCTCTGCTGCCCGAATATACTTCCTCTTTCAACCTCTAACCTCTGTTGCTATCTCTACTGCCTTGCGAAGCCCTGCTATTTCCTGTTGCATTAACACGCTATCATGCCCTATCCATGCAATGCCCTTGTTCAGCTGCTCAACTGCTCTAAGCAGAGGAGAAACTAGGGAATCTCTGTGCAGTTGTACACGCTCACAAACTAGCGTTAACTGAGCCTCTATCTTACAGAGGTTGCTTAGAGTTTTCGATTCCTATAGGGTGTCCTCTAGCTTTAACTAGTGGAGTTGGCGTACAAAGGACCACATTAAGCTTTAATATCACCACCTCTAGGTTATGTAGAACTAGTCTAGCACCCCTAAAGCCTACACAGATATTCTCCTTTGTGATTAACCTCTTAAAAGCTGCTTTAAAGGCTAGTAGGAAAGCCTCCTTCTTAATCTGCTTAGAGCTGTACTATGCCAAGCCACTAATCTTATCACTATATGCCCGCTTTAAAGGCGAAAAGCAACCCACATTAAGTGGCTGTAGTAGGTGCAACAAGTAATTAGGCATACAGAGAACAATAATCTTCTCTTCCTTACAGTGTTTGTGGAACTTATGTGAGCTGTGGCTCTTATAGCCGTCCATAATCAGCAGCCTGTGTGCACCTACCTTCTAGTCTTTTGTATAGGTATTAAAGTGCTTTAGCTAGGTAATACTAAGCTTATTCAACGTCTAGCTATTAGGACTAACCTTAATTACCTAATCCTAAGGTAGATTGTGAAACTATAAGGTAATAAGGACCTTGCTAGGGAAGATAAGGAAGGGTAGGATAGCCTATCCTTTAGCGTTAACTCCTTATATATTAGTGACCTAACTACAGTTCCCTAGCTGTAGGTTCTTTGTGCTACGCTTCTTAGAGCCTGTAAAGACTATCTAGCTATAGATAACCCCTATTATAAAGCCTATCTTGTTAAAGTTGTACATGTCTTTGTCTATGATGCCATACTTGGCCTTTGTGTTAGCAACTAGCTCAAACTAGGGTGTTATAACGCGTGCATCTTCGTTAAGGGCTCGC